GCAAAAATATTTAACTTCTGAAAATAGCAAGTTCTTACAAGAATATAGTACCACCACCACTTGGAAAGCAATTAGACTATATTCAGTATGAAGATGCATTTATCCTTCCATCTAGCTCCTAGGGACAATGATGTGTTATAAGAGCCAATTATTAATTATTAAAATATTCATGTATTGCCGTAACTGGTTTGGCTCAGTGGATAGAGCATCAGCCTGCGGACTGAAAGGTCCCAGGTTCGATTCCGGTCAAGGGCATGTACCTTGGTTGAGGGCACATCCCCAGTAGGGGGTGTGCAGGAGGCAGCTGATGGCTGTTTCTCTCTCATCGATGTTTCTCTCTATCCCTCTCCCTTCCTCTCTGTAAAAAATCAATAAAATATATTTTTTAAAAAATATTCAGGTATTTTGTGAGCCAGTTGTTAAATGGTAGCTTGAAATCAGCCAAAATGAGAGTATTTACACCGTGGAAATCTGCAAATGGCACAAATCAGGGCTTGGGTTTTGTTTTGTTTTGTTTTTAGATCTTGTTTACAAGAACAGCACTGGAACATAGAGAAACTATCATGTGTATGTACAAGAACACATTGTAGAAGAAGCATTCATAATCCACACCTTATTACATTTTAATATGGTGTTAATTTCAGGACATGATTTTTATTAGATCCATCACTAAGGTATGAATAACATCATAATTTAACCTTAGCTTGAATTTTTCAATTACTTCCACATTCTTAACTAAGTAATCATTCTTAAATATTTTTTTAAACAGTAAGAAAGTCTATTATTTCACATAACAAGAAGCTTAAGCTGGAGTGGCTCCCTGGCTGGTTAATTTGTTGACTATTCAATGTTGCTTGGTTTATTCTTTCTACTTTGCCATCTCTGGCAAGCTCCTCTTTAACAAAATAGCTTCAGTAATGCCAGGAATTCTTTCACAGATGGTAATATCAAGAGAAAAAAAAAAAAAAGCTGCTTCTTCCCATATGTATTTTCATCAAAGAAGAAAACTCCCTGAAGTCCCCTCATCGATTTCCCCTCAGGGCCCATTGGTCAGCTTGAATAATTTTAGTAACATTCCATTACATTCAGATTTTGTCATAGGATTTAAGTAGTTGTTTGCATGGCTTAGTCTTAACATACTTAAATTTTAAATAAAAAAGGGAAACCCTAGTGTCTCACATTGACAATTAAAGCCACTCATTATTTTAGATCCGGGCAGAAATCATAAGTAATTTAGGTAATTTTTCCCAAAATTATCTCAGTAAAGTTCATGTACTTTAAGTGTTTAAGAATCAACTTTCATTTAGATCAGTGCCCTATTTTCTGACAATTTAATGTATTTTTCACAGATTTGGAACTTTAACCTTGACGAGAGGTATAAATGCTATGATTATCTTAATGTCAATATTATGTTTAAAAATAATCTTGCCTGAGGTAAAAGGATCTTATATATAAAAGTCATGCATTTATGACTAGGGTCATTTACATTTCTCTTGTGTTAACTCTATTTTGACATGCTTACTCTTGAGCATGGGAAAGCACAAGCATATGGTTATTATAGCCAACTTCCTTCCAGTTCCAACCTCATTTTCTGCTGCAAACATCTAGGGGAACTAGGAAGTTCTCCAAGTCATTCACTAAGTATGAAAAAGGACTGAGGGCCAAATGTATTAATTTACTAATGAGATTTACATGTGTAAGTACAAAATATAGATTCTGACAGCTTATAAGAAAAAATGTCCTATATGCCCTGAATCCAGATGTATGTCTACCTACAATAAGTAAACTTTCTAGCCCTGGCTGGGTGGCTCAGTTGGTTGGAGTGTTGTCCTCCTATATACCAAAATGTTGCAGATTCGATTCTGGTCAGGGCATATACCTGGGTTGCGGTTTTGATCCCCGGTCAGGGCATGAATGGGTGATCGATGTTTCTCTCTCTCTCTTTCTCCCTTCCTTTGTCTCTAAAAATCAATAAAAACATATCCTTGGGTAAGGAATCTGGTTATACAGCCAAAGAATGACTATTTTTTAAAGTTATAATTTGCCCTGGCTGGTGTGGCTTAGGTGGTTGAGCATCATCCTGTGCATCAAAAATTCGCCAGTTCGCCCTAACCGGTTTGGCTCAGTGGATGGAGCATCGGCCGGTGGACTCAAGGGTCCCGGGTTCGATTCCGGTCAAGGGCATGTACCTTGGTTGCGGGCACATCCCCAGTAGGGAGTGTGCAGGAGGCAGCTGATTGATGTTTCTCTCTCATCGATGTTTCTAACTCTCTATCCCTCTCCCTGGGGTGTGCAGGAGGCAGCTGATCGATGTTTCTCTCTCATCGATGTTTCTAACTCTCTATCCCTCTCCCCCTTCCTCTCTGTAAAAAATCAATAAAATATATTTTAAAAAAAATTCGCCAGTTCAATTCCCAGTCAGAGCACATATCCAGGTTTCAAGCTCAATCCCTAGTAGGGGGCATGCAGGTGGCAGCCTATTGATGTTTTTTTCCCTCTTCCTTTCTCTCTCTTTAAAACCAATAAAAACATGTTAAAAAATAAATGTCAATATAAAGTTATTTAAAATCTTTTTTTAAAATTGTTTATTGATTTCAGAGAGGAAGGGAGAGGTAGAGACGGATAGAAACATCAATGATGAGAGAGAATCATTGACTGGTTGCCTCTGGCACGCCTCCTACTGGTGATTGAGCAACCAGAGCATGTGCCCTGACCAGAATTAAACTGTGATCTCCTGGTCCATAGGTCAACACCCAACCACTGAGCAACACCAGCCAGGCCATATAATGTTATTTTTGATAAACTGCTTTATCAGATTTAAACCATGAAACTTTTCTCTTGATGTGATTTCAGCTGTGTTTACAACTGGTAGCATTAATTCAGTCCAGCAACCTGGAGACCAGCAACCTTACTGATGGAGAATACCAAACACTTTTCATAATGCCATTCAGGGCTGCAGGGGCAAATCTTAGAAATGGTCTTTTTTTGACATACTTACTCCTGAGCACGGGAAAGCAGACATAAGAGAAAATGTACTTTAATAATTATTTTTTTAATTTAATTTAATAAAAAAATTACGTATATGTAGTAAAACTCCAAACAGTAGAGAATGGTATAGAATAAAAAATAAAAATATCACCTTCTCCAGAAACCACAAGTTTCACTCCCTAGGGCAGTGATGGCGAACCTTTTGAGCTCGGCATGTCAGCATTTTGAAAAACCCTAACTTAACTCTGGTGCTGTGTCACATATAGAAATTTTTTGATATTTGCAACCATAGTAAAACAAAGACTTATATTTTTGATATTTATTTTATATATTTAAATGCCATTTAACAAAGAAAAATCAACCAAAAAAATGAGTTCGCGTGTCACCTCTGACACGTGTGTCATAGGTTCGCCATCACTGCCCTAGGGGAAGCATTATAAACAATTTCTTTTGTAACCTCTCAAAAATATTCTATGCATAAACAATCATATAAACATGTTCTTTTTTCTTTAACCAAAAATTAAACTAAATACCTTCTGTACCTAGCTTTTAAAATTAATAAATCTTGAAAAATATTCCAAATCAGCAATACAGATCTATAATTTACTTATTCAATCAATAGATATTTGTTAAGTCCTAGGGACTGTATTAGGTGCTAGGAATAAAAAGGTAAACAAGGTAGGGGACATGCAGAAGGTGGCCAATTGATGTTTCCCTCTCTCATTGATATTTCTCTCTCTCCTTCCTTCCTCTCTCTCACACCCTCCTCTACACCTTTCAGTTATGGTGGCTCCCATAGCTGCCCACCCAGTTGTAGGCAAAGGCCTGGTGGAGGTGGCTAGCCAGGCTGCAAAATTAGGTTGTATCCCAAATATTCCCCCAGGAGTCTGTGATGGCAGGCTGAAGATACAGTGCCCACTTGGGCCCCCAAGCAATTTTAAACCCCTACTAAGCATTCAGCAAAAACATATAGACAGGAATCCTTTGGTAAAGTGAATAAAATCACAATTTGTATTGCTAGGTTTAGATTTTCATACCACATTTCTTCGAGACAAATTTATTTTGTATTGGTGTTGTTTTTTTAATCAATTTCTTAGATGTTAAATTTTAAAAGGAGAAATTATATCTTTTGCTGATGCAATTTTAATCAGTTTCATTTATATTCTTCTTGGCAACAAGTTCATCAGTCTGTCTTCTCCAGTACTAAACTTAGTATTTTGCAGCAAGGGCTCAATCTACATAATAATTGAGAGAAGCAAGAGTAGTACTACAGGCATACCTGAGATGTTGCGGTTTGCTCCAGACGACGACTGGCAATAAAGCCAGTTGTAATCTTTTCGCTGGTGGAGGGTCCTGCTTTGAATTTGTAAAACACACAACATCTGTAGCCTACAATAAAGCTAGTATGCCTAAAAAACACAAAGCAAGGAAATCAATAGCAAATTACATGTTCATAAATAAGTTCGCTGACTGCTTTATGCTTTTTTTAACCCGCCATTATTATTGTCAGTATAAGTAGTAACAGTAGCTATTGCTATAATATAGAGAAAATACAAGAGCTTCCTTTTTTTCTGTTATTGGTTCTTCTGTGTGTGTGAAGCGGTCGATACCCTTATCTAAATTGGGATGTCCAATACCCCCAGTACTTTGTTTGGACCAAGTGAGGGAGAAGACGAAGCAAACCTAAAATACTAGGAATGGGCGCCCCGTTTTAGAGCATTGTCTCCTCGCCTGGATGCATGACTGGCAGATTAATCATTTACATACTCGATGGGATAGTTCAAGGTGAGGCCCTTGAACGCCTCTCTGGGAGTTCCACAAGCCCCCAACGTAAACCTGGTTTGTGTGGCACGCCACCGGAAGCTAAGAGGCCCCGGAAGGAGGCGAGGTCCAGGCCACGCCCCCACGCCGCCTCGCGCTCAGCCGCTGCTCGGCCCTCCGGCGCGCGCGACGCTGGCAAGGGCGGGGCTAATTCAGGAAGGGGCGGGGCCATCGGATAGCCTTAGAGCCCGAAACGGCCGCCAGCTTCCTTTTCCGTCGGCGACGGACCGAGGAGTCCGAGCGGGCTACCATCGGCCATGCGGTTGTTGGTGGCCGGGGAGCAGCGCCCGCGCGCGCGTCGCCGGGCTTTTCCAGGTGGGAGTCTCGGCGATCTCAGTTCCTCCTCTCTTTCTGCGGGGAACCCGACCCCTTGTGGCAGCCCACACCCGCCTCGGGGCCTGCAGCTCTCGGGGCCTGCTCCCGGGGCCTCCATTCCGGAGTCTCTGTCCCTTGCCCAGGGTGCGGCCTCTGCCCTCACCCCCAGTTGGCGCGGCCACGAGCTTTCTTCCACGCCATCTGCTCAGTCGCATTTTGTGAGTAACCACCTGCGAGTTTTAACGGATCCTTCTCTTAGCCAACGCCGGTTTCGGCTGTTCTCCGCCCAGCAACTAGGCCTGTGATTAGGTTGGATCCGAGGCGGGGGAAGGTACGGCCAATGGCTTGGTGCCCCGCCCGGGCCTTCTGGGCCCTTTAGTCGGTGTCCCCGGTGAAGCTGTGTCACTGTGCGGCCTGGAAGGTGTCGGGTCTCTCTAGTCGGCGGCACAGCCTTCGTAAGCGGGAGGGATTCTTCTCTCTCAGATGTAAGACCCTTACTTGTACCCTGATTTTTTTTTAATTGTTCAGAGCACAGTTTACCTGTTGACATTAACAGTTATGGTCCGGACACAGTAGAGCTACTTATTGCATTTGTTCTGGATCTTCATTTCTAGGTAGAATCTAAAAGTTGAAGAATATGTATTGCATAGAGGAGGCTTGGGCCTAAAATGCCTACTCTACCTTTCGGTGATGGCGTTTACTTATGTCTGTTTCTGCACGTGATTTAGAAGAAACTGGCCAACAGCTGGGAGACTATGTTGCCTGTTGAAGAAAAGCGAGTTATAAATGTCTCATCGATGAGACTTAGTGTAGTCAATGTGGTTTATTTTTCCTCTCCCCAAATTTAAAATACATTGCTTCATCCGGAACAATCTAACAGGAGAAATGTGATGGCTTAAAGTAGATCATCCTTAAGAGGCCGGCAGTTGTCAGTAGTTCCTATGCATCATATATTAAGCTGAAATTTCCCCAGTCATAATTATTCATAACCAGTAGTCTGTTCCTCGTATTGATTATGTGAAATATTTCAGCATTTCAAGACTTGAAAATGATAAATTGTTTTGCAGGGCCCAACATTTGATGTGCTTTCATAAATCATTTCCAGTAGCTGTCTGGTTCAACGATTTATCCTCTGCTAGGACAAGGTCTGTGGCCCTAGCCATGCCCTTGCTGTACCTCAGTGACTTTTCAGGCAACTTGGGATTTAATTACAGAACTGTGTCCAGTAATGATGCCGACAAAATTTAACTGCTCTAAAACCAGATTAGATTTGCCATTGTAATGCTTTTAGTTGGGAGGTCTGCACACTTGATTTAATATATCTGACCTTTAACCTGGCTCATCCTCGTCAAACTCTGAGACAGAAAAGCAATGGCTGGGTACTCATTAGCACCATCATGGCTTAAAGTCAATACTGCCACAGTAAAGAATATAAATTTATCCGCCATTTTCCCCACCCCTGATAATGAGTCCATTTTCAGCTTGGAATTATTAAGGTCTAATTAGTCAGGACTAACATTCTCAAATCATTATAGAAATTAAATTTTAGGTTTATCGGTTTTGACTACCAAAAAGGTAGAATTAAGCAGCAAGTACATTCTTGTGTTCCATTAGAGATGTGTTAAACAGCAAATAGAAATTACTCCACAACATGGTCTCAGTATTAGTGGTTTTTAAAAACTGGTCAGGAGAATTTACATACTGGAGGGATAGTATGTTAATAATTCCCTTATTTGTGGAAAGTGATTGTCCTTGAGGTGGCAGGCACCTGGTTCCTGATAAGGAAAACTAGCACAGGACCATTCCTGCATATAGGATGCCAAACATGCAAGTACAAATAAAAATTTACAACAAAATATTAATTTACAGATGCAACAGAGCCTATGAGTTGAAGATGAATGAAGGTTATTATGAATGTTTTCCAAAAACTTGACAGAGGATGACTAAACCCCCAGGAGCATGTCTGCATGTAACAAGGTACCAAAGGTTACTGTTAAATTGTGTGGGGTTTTTTTAATGTACTTGTGGTTTTGTTCTGAAGAACAGTACCAAAAATGTTGGGTACATTTTTGACATGGAAATGTTTAATAACTGGCACAATGATGACTTAAATTACTTTTTGCCGTTTACCCAGCTGAGGGTTTCTTTGAAGAAATTTTAAGACTGAGTTGCCAGTTATCTATTGATTATGTGAATTCAGCTAATAATGCAATTTTTTTACTAAAATCAGTGAAATGTTCTTTTCAACATTTAGGTAACTGCAAGTGAATGAACAAGTTCTTAGCTGTGGTGTTTAAAAATTCATTGCCTCAGGTAAGCAATTATGATTTGTCAAGCATTTATTGATAATTAAAAGGGGCTGGGACCATTTCCTGTTAGTTAACTTTGTTAGGTACAAAATGATTTTCACTATTGGTTTCTGATTTTTTTCCCCCAGGTGTGGCCTGTGACATTTTTGGAAGGAAAAACAAAGAATTGGTCAAGAAGATAAGAACTGGAACAAATGATGAAAAGTAATATTTTATTTAACAATGATCAATAAAATTATATAGAAAATCACAATAAAGTTATTATAGAAAACACATGTTTGAATAAATACTTTTGATTGATGGGCATTAAAACCTGTTTTCTTTAAAACATCAAATCTTTAAACCACTCCATTCTCAGTCATTAGTTGGACTTGTTTTTTACATCCTGGAGGGATAGCATGTTAATAATTCCCTTATTTGTGGAAAGTGATTCTCCTTGAGGTGGCGGGCAACTGGGGAGATTTCTTAGAACCTCCAGTTCTTATATCCTTTCTTGCCTTAGCAGTGGTTCTCAACCTTCTGGCCCTTAAAATACAGTTCCTCATGTTGTGACCCAACCATAAAATTATTTTTGTTGCTACTTCATAACTGTAATGTTGCTACTGTTATGAATCGTGATGTAAATAACTGATATGCAGGATGGTCGTTCGACCGCCAAGGGGGTTGCGACACACAGGTTGAGAACCGCTGCCTTAGGGGATTTCTGGAGAGGCCGTAATCACTATATTAGAGGCCCTCCCTTCAGAACCTGTTCTATCTGGAATGATATAATCCTGTTATCCATAGCCTCATTTACCCACAGTCCAAAAAGATTACATGGGAAAATCCAGAAATAATCCCTAAGTTTTACAATTACACGCAGTTTTAAGGAATGAGAATCATTCTTTTATCCAGTGTAGCTGCACTGTACATTACCTGTTAGCTATTTTGTGTTATATTAGACCTGTTATTGTGCCTAATTAATTGAGCTTTATCATAGGTACATATAGGGAAAATGCTACTATTCATGCTTTCAGGTATCCACTTGGGGTCTTGGAATATATTCCATGGATAAGGAGGACAAGTATAGTTGGAAACTCCCTAATGCATTGCCCCTCACAACCTGTAACGTACAAGTTTTAATTTGCTTTTATCTTTGAACAAAAAAGTAATCACAATCCTAGTACAAATAATTAAGGAAAACGGTGGCTGGGCAGTCCAGTCTTTCCAGGACTTGAGAATTTATGAAAATTCTAAGAATGAACTTAGTTCCTACCTGGGTGAAAATTTTTTTTTTTTAAATATATTTCTAAACATTTTAGAGAGGAAGGGAGAAGGAGAGAGAGATAGAAACATCAAAGATGAGAGAGAATCACCGATTGGCTGCCTCCTGCACACCCCCTACTGGGGAACGAGCCCGCAACCCAGGCATGTGCCCTCGGCCGGAATCGAACCCGGGACCCTTCAGTCCCCAGGTTGAAATTTTAAATCTTGGGTGAAAATTTAAATCTTGTTTTCCTCTATTGAGTCTCATAATACCTTGTTTTTAATTAGGATTATAATTTCATGATGGGAAGGTAAACAGTATAAAATGTATACGGCAATGTTTAGAATCTGCATGAGAGGTAACATCTGAGAATCACTCCCCTGTCAAATAACACTTTATAATTGTAAAATAGAGGGCATTTTGTGGGTCTTAGTTTTATAAAATATTTGGCCATCTCAGAGCCAGAAAAATAAGGTCTTGACATTATAGGATTGTACTTTGTACTATGTACTTTTTAAAACAACTGCCTTCTGAAAATTGGCACCAGTAGATACTCAGTATTGTTGAATGAGTAGGAAATAGTGAATGATTTGTCAAAGTCATATCAAGAGTGAGAGCTATCCACTTTATGGTTAAACTCGGACCAATTTCTAAAGAATAAATGTATGGTGGTATCTTGGTTAATAAGGTGGCAAATTTCAGGTGACTTCTTTTTAGTGAGTAAAATTAAAGTTTTGAAAAATGAAAAGGATTTGGGGATTTTCTAAGAAGTATATTTTCTGATCTCCCCCTCCCTAAAAAAAAGTATATTTTCTCATGGTGTCTACCTTTTCAGAGCAGGTATCTGCCCTCTAAAAATGAAGATGTAAGTTGGTTTCTTTGCCTTCTAGTACCTTCTTTATAACCAGTTAGGTTTAAACAAACAACCAATTACTTGCTTGATTTGACTTAAATTCCTTTTTGTTTAACCTGGCTTATACAAAAATGGAAATTTCAAGGCTTTTCCTGACTCCATAAAACTATGTAATGGACATGTCAATATCTAGTAAAACATAAAAAGTCCTTAAATTTGACACATGTGGTTATATAAATTGTTAGTTTACTCAATGTGTCAGTTTTAAAGTGCAAGAGAAAACCATTTAATTTGAAGGTACTCTCATTTAAAGTGCTATTGCCATCTTGTGACAAGTGGAGGGAACTACATAGAAGTTACCATTTTTTACATTGCTTAACTTGCAACATTCAGTATTTTTATCTTGCCCACTGGTATACTGGGCTAGCCAGAGTTGTTCTTTTCTTTGTTTTTTATAAGATTCTCCTAAGTTTTAAATTTCTGCTGTTGGCTTTGAGATTTGAATTAGTGTTTATTCTATCAGCAATTAATTTGAAGAGGGCATATTTTGTATTTTTAAGGTGGCATTCTAATATAACTCCTATACACAATACCTGAAGCATTACTTCAATATCACATTCCTACTGCTGAAGTAGGAATGAAGAAAATTTTCCTCAGATTGCCTATTCATCGCTAGCGAAAACAGCTGTCCCAGGTCCATATGTGGCAATAAATTGTAGGAGCTGTTGTTGGCACTGAGTCAGATAGACATCCCTTTGTTCTAAATATTCTTCATTATATAGTTCGAATGGAAATACTGCATTTGGAGCAACACAAAATACAGTGGCTCCTAAGAAAAGAAGGAAAAAAGCGTAAATGAGAAATACTACTTAAAATGCTAAATACGAAATAACATTTTCAACAAAGTAGTGAAAGTTTTATAATTAAGTTCTGACCTATTTAATAGGGTATTTCAATAAGCACTTGAATCTGACTTTTTTTGAGACCCAGTAATGTTCAGTAAATTTACACACTGGTACCAGGGCCAATGGAAGACATGTTTACATTTTAAAGTTTGGAAACTAGAAATCTGCCTTATATTGCACTAGTCATTCTACTTTTGAAGCTGACTGGTGGTGTAAGTAGGTGGGGTATTGGAAGGTAGAGAAACACTAGTATTTATTTGATAAAGGTTAAGTTGATCGAGGCTAAAGACATTGCACATTTCACAATTATTAAGAACCGTTGACATAAAGACAAGCCTATGCAATATAATAGGAGTCTAGAAATATCACCTCACATATATCATTAAATGACTTTCAACAAGGGTTCAATAGGGAAAGGACAGGCTTTCCAACAAATGGTGCTAGGAAAATTATATCCACTTGCAAAAGAATGAAGTTGGTCCCTTCCCTTACATCATATACAAAATTAAAAATTAATAAATCCAAGAACTAAAACTGCAAAACCCTAAGAAAATAACATTGGGGAAATGCTTCATAACATTTGATTCAGCAATGTATTCTAGGACAACACCAAAAGCACAGGTAACAAAAGAGATAAACCACATTGAAATAAAATTTGTATACATCAAAAGAGAAAAGGCAACACTTTTCACTTGAGTAGACATTTCTCCACAAAGATACACAAATGGTCAATAAACCCATAAAAAGATGCTCAACATCACTAATCATTAGAAAAATGGAGCCCTGGCCAGTTTGCTAAGTGGTTAGAGCAGCCGTGGGCAAACTACGGCCCTCGGGCCGGATCCGGCCCGTTTGAAATGAATAAAACTAAAAAAAAAAAAAAAGACCGTACCCTTTTATGTAATGATGTTTATTTTGAATTTATATTAGTTCACACAAACACTCCATCCATGCTTTTGTTCCGGCCCTCCGGTCCAGTTTAAGAACCCATTGTGGCCCTCGAGTCAAAAAGTTTGCCCACCCCTGGGTTAGAGTGTCAACCCTTGATTAGTTTGATTCCCCATCAAGGATACATACCTCAGTTGCAGGTTCGATCCCCAGCCCTGGTCAGAGTGCGTGTGGGAGTCAACCAATCTATGTGTCTCTCTTACACTGATGTTTCTCTCCTTTCTCCCACTCTCTCTAAAAATCAATGAAAAAATATCCTCCAGTGAGGATTAAAAAATAATAAAAAAATGTAAATCAAGCCATAATGTGATACCACCTCATACCCATAAGGATGATTACTCTCAGAAAGAAAACAAAAGGCCTGGCTGGTGTGGCTCAGTGGTTGAAGATCTATCTAAGCACAAGATGGTTGCTGATTCCATTCCTGGTCAGGACAAATGCCTGGGTTGTGGGCTCCATCCCCAGCGAGGGACGCTCAGGAGGCAGCCTATTGATGTTGATGTTTCTCTCTCTCATTGATGTTTCTATACATATCTCCCTCTCCTTTCCTCTCTCTCTAAAAATCAATTAAAAACATTTTTTTAAAAATATATTTTATTGATTTTTTACAGAGAGGAAGGGAGAGAGATAGAGAGCCAGAAACATCGATGAGAGAGAAACATCGACCAGCCGCCTCCTGCACATCTCCCACTGGAGATGTGTCCGCAACCCAGGTACACGCCCTTGACCGGAATCGAACCTGGGACCCTTCAGTCCGCAGGCCGACGCTGTATCCACTGAGCCAAACCGGTTTCGGCTAAAAACATTTTTTAAAAAGAAAAGAAATTGGAACTCTTGTACACTGTTGGTGGGACAATTCCCTTTTGGTTATATACCCAAAAGAATTGAAAACAAGGTCTCAAATATTTGTGTACTTATGTTCATAGCAGCATTACCAAAGGTGGAAAGCAACTTAAGTGTCCATTGATGGATGAATGGATAAACAAAATGTGGCAGTCTTAAACAGAAAGGAAATTCTGCATGCTACAACATGGATGAATCTTGAAGACATTAATTATACTACGTGAACTAAGCCAAACAAGATAGGACAAATATATGATTTCACTTATATGAGGTACCTAGAGATAGGGGGAAGGAGAGAATTGGGAGTTATTGTTTAATGGATATGAAATTTCAGTTTGGAAAAATGAGATGGATGGTGGCAACAATATGAATGTATTTAACAGCACTGAACTGTACATTTAAAAATGATTAAGACAGTTTTTAAAAAAATATTTTTATTGATTTCAGAAAGGAGGGGAGAGGAAGAGAGAGATAGAAGCATCAATGATGACAGGGAATCATTGATTGGCTGCCTCCTGCACACCCGCTACTGGGGACCGAGCCTGCAACCCAGGCACATGCCCTTGACCGGGATCAAACCTGGGACCCGTCAGTCTGCAGGCCGACACTTTATGCACTGAGCCAAACCGGCTAGGGCAAGACAGTTTTATATTATGTATATTTCATCAGGATTTTAAAAACATCTTAACTATTACATAGGAGTTAAGCTCTTAAATTGTTTCATTGAATGAGTACCTGTAAATGTGCCTGGCCAGGAGTACAATTGCTAGCCAAGCTGACAATGCCTACCTTCCTAGAGCTCTCTGTCATCAGTAAACACTTTTATAGCCTCAGACTTTGGGGACTGCTCCCTTTCCTGCTTTACCTTACCTGAAACCTGCTGTTATTGAGAACACTGCTTTCCTTGTGGCCCTTTAAGGTGAAGGTGCTTTTCTCAAACACCCCACATGCCCTCGTATCATAAGACTGAGTCAGTGCCTAACTTGCTGCCCTTTTGCTGTTTTCAGACCATTTTTGCCCCTGTTTTCCTCTTGATACAAATCTTTCTTCCTTTAATGCTCAATTCCACCTGGGCTTTGTCAGCCCTTCCCCATCCAGTCAAGTCAACAACCAGCTCTCAGCCCTTGGCTCACAATCTTCATCTTTTCCACAATATCTTCCATTCAACTATTTTCATGTGAAAGACCCATTTAGCTCCTGACCTCCCTGTGTCCTAACCTTTCCCCCTCTACCTTCACCACGCACATTCTCAAGGTTATAGGAAACTGATATTACCAGAAACTTTAAAGTCATTAATTCAAATGTCCTGCTCCCCTGCACCATCTCCTATACTTCTATCTCAGAGACCTCCAATCTTCCTTCAATTCACTTCCCTCTTTCAACCAGTTTGAGTCCCTCCCTTGCCAATGCAACACTCTGCCACGCTTATCTATCAAAACCTCAACTCTGTAGGAACCCAACCATTTACTTTGTGCCTGCATTCAGGCTGCTAGACTGAAAATCACAAATGTAATTAGCATTTCTAGGTTTTACTTTATATGAATCACAGAAATCTCAAATGGGTACATGCATTGTCTGTCAACCCTGCTGAGCTTCTCTAGCACATTTGCTCTTCTATTCCTCACAATGACTATTATATTCCACTAGAAGCCCGTTGCAGGAATATTCCTGCAAGAATAGGGCTTCCTCGGGCCAATCTCATCGCCAAGCCCCACCGCACAGGGCCGCACACGGGGGTCCCAGCTCAGGGCCGGGCTTAGGCGGCACACGGGGGCCCGGATGGCGGCTCTCGCTGGCCCGCCCTGCCTACAGTATGCAAATTAGCCGCCATCTTTGTTGGCAATTAATTTGCATATCGCGCTGATTAGCCAGTGGGAGGCATAGCGAAGGTACGGTCAATTACCATGTTTGTCTATTATTAGATAGGATTCTCTCCAAATCTTTTTTTAGCTGATGACATTGTATAGAGTATATCATAAAATCTACAGACCTATTTGATTCTGTATCCATTGTCTTCCCTCCTATAAAATAAAGTGACTCTTCTATCACAGGCCAGTACCTTCACACGTGCTCTGGATCCCATCCCTTTTCACCTTTTTAAGAACTTCATTCCTTTGCTCTCCTCTTTCTGTAGTATCATTAATTTACTCTCTATTGGACCTCATAAGATCTATTATCTTCTTATCTTTAAAAAAAAATCCCATCCTGGACCTCACATCCTTCTCCAGAAAACACCCATTTCTTTCCTCATCATCACAGTTTCACACGTGCTCTGGATCCCATCCCTTTTCACCTTTTTAAGAACTTCATTCCTTTGCTCTCCTCTTTCTGTAGTATCATTAATTTACTCTCTATTGGACCTCATAAGATCTATTATCTTCTTATCTTTAAAAAAAAATCCCATCCTGGACCTCACATCCTTCTCCAGAAAACACCCATTTCTTTCCTCATCGTCACAAATGTCTCAAAGTTGTGTACGTGTACTCTCTTCATATCTTCACTTCCTTCCCCACTCCACTGACTTAGCTCAGATCATGGCCACCTACAACTTCTAAACTGCCAAATCTAATTGTACTTAGATACAGCTGACTACCTGCTCCCTCCCTGAAACACTCCCCTTTCTTGGCTTCTGTAATACCACACTTGATTTTCTTCCTACTTTCTAGCTGCTGCTTCTCAGTCTCCTTTGTTTGTTCTTTCTCCTCAATCCCGTATCTAAATACTGAAATCTTGGAGGGCAGTTGTAGAGCTCTCTGTGGTCTCTCTAGGTGATTTCATCAATTCCATGGCTTTGAGTACCATATCTGTCCTGACGGTTCTTAAGTTATATTTCTAGGTTAGAATTCTCTTCTAAACTCCATATTCTTATACCTGTCTACTAATATCTCTGTATGATGTCTCAAACTTATATTTATACTTTGCTTTTTCTCTCAAATCTTTTTCTCTTTCTTCCCAGTCTTGGTAAATGGCACCATGATCCACTTAGTTTCTCAAGGCAGAAACCTGGGAGTTTTCCTTGATTCCTACCTCTCTCAGCTAACCCAACTCATAAATCTAGTTTATGAGTACAATCTATTGGTTTCTGCATCCAAGAAAAATATCCCTGAGTATGGATGATTTTCCTGCTATGTTTAAAGTAACATGTAAGGAGCTCTTCAACATTGTTTTGCTTAAGACTTAAAACTGAAATTTATTATAAAAACAAAAAGTAATTAAAGGAAAAAATCTTCACATAGCTGTATTTCCCTCAACAAATGTTTTCTTAAATGCTTTAAAAAAGTCTTGACAAAATAGTTTTCAAGTGAAAATAACCATATTCTACTATAGGAGTACTTAATACTATATAATGTTATAGATTTTAAATTCAAAGACATAGTGGGGGTGGGCTATAAGGAGTCATTGGGAGAAAAAAAGGAACATGTAATACTTTCAACAATAAAGATTTTTTTTAAAAGACACATTTTTGTCTTCTTACTGAAATCTAGTAGTGTCTTAGATGACTTTGTTGTTATGTCTTAGTAAAATTGGCAGCATTTTTCTTTATGGTACATAAAGAATGTGTCTTGGATTTTAACAATTATGTTTTAAATACATTTTAAGAGAAGAATTTAAAGATAAATTAAATTGCCCAGCAGGTGTGGCTCAGCAGTTGAGGGTCGACCCAGGAACCAAGAGGTCACTGGTTCAATTCCCATGGTCAGGGCATATGCCTGAGTTGTGGGCTCGATCCCCAGTGTGGGGCATGCAGGAGGCAGCCAATCAATGATTCTCTCTCATCATTGATATTTCTCTCTCTCCCTCTCCCTTCCTCTCTGAAATCAATGAAAATATATTTTAAAAATAAGATAAAGCAAATTAAAAATAAATATCCTTCCTCTTATTTAGTATTGGTTGGGAATCAAGTTTTTCTCTTTTGGTAAATAAAACTAATTCAAGATGATAATTTACCTTTTCTAGGCGTTATTATTTATCTTCCTAAGCAAGAAGGTATAAAGAATATACACATACAAATTTGCATATAATTTAGGGATTCACAAGCCCATAGAACTCTCTAAGTATCCATGGATCCTAGGTTAGGAATGTTTGACTTAGATAATTATAGAACAAATGTCTAATTTTCTAGTGCAGCGGTTCTCAACCTGTGGGTCATGACCCCTTTGGCGGTCGAACGACTCTTTTACAGGGGTCGCCTAAGACCATCCTGCATATTAGATATTTACATTACGATTCATAACAGTAGCAACATTACAGTTATGAAGTAGCAACAAAAATAATTTTATGGTTGGGTCACAACATGAGGAACTGTATTTAAAGGGCCAGAAGGTTAAGAACCACTGGGTTGAGAACCACTGTTCTAGTGGATCTTTGCAAAAAGTTACTACAATATAAATTGAATTTAAAGCAAATTTAAGCATTATACATATACACACAGAAAAGTCAGTGTTAAAATATCCTTTTAAGTCCCAGGATTGGAACTAAAGTTTGGTTTGAAACATAGTTTATCTTATCAAAATAATGGCTCATCTAATTCAACAAAGCATTCTGTGAGTATAACTTTCTTTACTCTTACATTGAGTCCTCTGAGGTTTTTATTAGCAAAACCATAATAAGCTCCATTCATTTCAAATAATTAAATGCTATAGTCATCTATATATATAAAAGGCTAAGTGTCCCAGTGACCATCCAACTGGTCGCTATGATGTGCACTGAACACCAGGGGGCAGACACTCAACGCAGGAGCTGCCAGGACCCACACTGGCAGGTACCATGGACCTGGCGCTGACAAACCAACACTTGGCTTCCCTCAAGTGGGACACAGGCCCCACCACCACCTCGGAGCGACACCCCACCAAATTGCAGCCAATGCTGCCAAGACCCCATAGCATAAAATGCGGCCCACAGCCCAAGCCAGCCCGAAAATGGTTGCTGTGGGCGCCCGGTAATGACCTCACTAGCAACGCCCGGCTTCCTCTCCCTAACAACAACTAGCCTCCTTCCCGTTTCTTCAGCCCAGAAACACTACTTGCTTTATAGCCAGGTGCAAACATTTTACACTTTAACCAAATGTTTGTGAAGCATTTTCACGTGCCTCATCTCATTTGATCCTCATAGAAGTCCTAGAGTAGGTAGATAGGAGACTTAGTAGAATCCTTTTTTTTTTTT